TAGCATTCGCACAGGATATACGCTCTAACTACTATCGACGTTCCTCCAACTATAATCATCCGACTGGATAGGAGCGACCAAGAGAGGAGATAGAGAGAGAGAGAGAGAGTTAAGTGTAATATTATTCAGCAGACGGCTTTGTATATGGATATATATACACACGCATGCACTGCGCACAGATGCTGCTGTCCTATGCTGGCTGCCTGTTCGCCTCTCTTGTACACGTCCGCGTATATTACCTTTATTCCCGGCGTCTATAGTTCCTTGCGAATACCAATATTCCGTAGTATAACGCGTGCGCGTTCGTCGGCTGTCCGACCAGATTGAAATTCTAGCGATATTTCTGGCCCAGCAAGTGTTACCTTCACGCCATTACGCAATGGTCCACTTTTTCCGGTCGATTCGATGTTGCACGTTGCAGAGTTTGCAAATCATCGGCCGTCCACCGTGCAATTTTCGTAATCGTCGCTTATTCCGAAGACGGTTAAAGATACACGTGTTTGCCACAGAGAGCGAGTATGCGAGTGGGTGGCTAGAAGCGAAGCTTCGCCCTTAACGTCGAGATTAGGGTATAGGCGGCTTTCTCTCTCTCGCTCACTCGACGATAGTTTCGCCCGCAGACTATGAATCGTAATGACGCGCTTAGACGCTTCCCTAGCCCTCCTCCCGCTAAGACAAAACACGCCGAGCCTGCGCATGTTAAATGCTCGCCACGAAAGCGCGATGCCTCATGTAGTTTGGCCGCCTGGCAAAACTTGAAATTGATGCTGATGCACGTTGGTGCGCGCATTAGGACTGTAATTACCTATTTCTACCAAGTGCATGTGTATGCAAACTTGTATGGACTGTTATAGATGCGCGACTCCAAAGAATACGAATGCGTCCGAAGGAGAGGGAGCCGTAAAACTAAATTGGCAAAATACATTGCTCCGGAGCGCGCTGATGTCGTGGTGGGTATTATCGAATTTGAAAATTGTTCCTTCTCGCCGCCCCTCGCGGCGACGATAAATAACCGCACGGCCTGTATCGTTGCTCTGTGTATCGTGCTTTGCCGAGGTCGTTAAGCCTCTTAATTATAACACTTGCCGCCGCGTAATAAAAAATAAAATTGGCCTCTCCTCTCCTCTCCTCTATTCAATATAAGTGTGTATAGACGCGGAGAACCAAGAGGAGCGTAAAACCAAATGCTAATTATTCTCATTGGCTTTAATGCTTTTTGTTTCCCCTCGAAAAAATTATGCGCCAACGCGCTCGCGCTTGTATACTTTCGAGCGAGGCTCGCCGCGATTACACGTCCTTATAATCTTTGGCTGCATCCTTTTCCCAAATACGCAAAAGCGCACGTGGGAATAATAAATAGCCGAGCGTTGCCGCAGCAAAAGTCGCAAATAAACGCAGTTTTATGACAAACTACGAACTACGTCGCCTTCGAGCGTCGTGCAGGCGCGATTTAGCTGAACAATACGCAAGACCATCGCAGCTTTGGGCGGAGCAAGCAGATATCCGCACGACGTACCAGTTGCTGCAGGTGCGGCGAATGGTCAATATAACCTGCAAAATGTAAATCACATTGCCAGAACGATCGGCCCTCGCGCGCTCTTTACTCGGCATACACTTTGGGCAATCTCACGCGGAGTCGAGTTTCTTTACTAAACGTTCGCGTGCACGTCCATGCAGAGCCACGAGATTTCTCTTAGATTCACATTTTCATTGGCTCTATCTCGATCGTTTACGATCGTCGCATTCCTCGCAGTGCCGCTTCTTCGTAGCAGACGCTTCGCGATCGATTTGCGTGATTTGCACCCGTAGCTACACGCAAGACGCGAAAGAGAAGCGAGTGACACGCACACGATGTCGCCACTCGTCGACGTGGCAAATCCGCGAGGGAAGGGAGGAAGAGGGATCGTTGCCGGCGGCATTTGCTGCTCTTTCTCTCTGTCTCCTCGATCGAGTTGCCGGTCGCACGACTTTCTGAGCGAGCGCACAGCGGCAGCTGATGTATTTTGACGTGACCGACGTGGAAGCGAAACTGCATTGTCCAATGGCTTGTATTTCTCTGTTGGGCTGACTTTCAGCCTTCGCGCGCTCTGTCTGGCGAAATGCGGGCATGCGATCTCTCGTCTCTCGGCGTTGCGGCGCGAGAAAAACGCCTCGGACGACTGCGGGAACTGTGCAGCCAGTGTTTTTCTCGTTCCTTCGAAGGGATGCCTCGTTTAGCCATGCCGTTGAACGCGAACGAGCCTGAAAAGCAGGGTTCGGATGTCGCCGCCGACACGAGAGGTCGGTCTGCTTATCCGAAGGAAGCGTGACCGGCGAGACCGCGAGTACTCGCGGCAGCCCTAGCAAGGAGTGCAGTGACCGGGGAGCAGAGCGGCGATCGCCGAGCGGCCCTCGACGAGCACGGACGGGCAAGCGTGGAAGCGCGTACGCGAGCTGCGAACGAGCAGCGGAGGTGCGATCGACAGGCGCGACGCTCGGAGAGGTGTACGCGTATGCGCGTGCTGCTCGTCGGAGCGAGCGAAAGAGGAGAGGAGAGGAGAGGAGAGAGGAGTGGGCGGCGCGGGCACGGCCGGCCAATGGCGAGTGGCCCGGCTAATTCTAGGGTGCCGCGCGCGCCGCGCCATCTTTGCATCGCGCATAACCCGCGCCGCAGCCGTCGCGAGCGACTCGCGGCATTCTTGCTCCCCACCTGCCTCGCCGCTCCTCCTTTCATCCCGCTGCCGAGCAGTCGAGCACTCTTCCCCCCGCAACCTCTCGCGCCTTTCGACGAATGCCACTGCTGCTCCCCGATAGATCCTCTTTGCCGGCGCCGAATAATCCGACTGGCCGCCGAGCGCTTCGCGTGCGCGCGGCAGCCGCTTGTCGGGATTGCGACCGACGCGGCGATCGCGAGAGCGCTGCTAATTGCGTACGCGAGAAACGATGGCAGCGGCGTGACAAGTCGATTGAGAGACGAGCGCGCGCAAGGAGGTACCGAGGTAGCGCGCGAGCGGGAGGAGCTGTCTGGAATAAGAACCCATCCGCGCCAGCTCTTCTCGCGGGTATATCGCGCGCGTATCGTATATGTGTGTGCGCGGAGCGTGCACTGCGCGCACACATAGGTATACCTGTACGGGACGCCCGAGGCGACGTGCAGCACCTACGCTACTACCTACTACCTCGTCTCTCCGCGTTGTGTAGCTGCCGACTCGCTACTCGAGCTGTCGGGAAAGGTAATCTCGGGACGTACGCCGAACGCTACTGCAGCAGCCATCTCCCTCTCTCGAGCGTCACGCAATTTCAAATCTTTTTTTTCGCGCTATCTCCCCTCCTCCTCCTCAGCGTGATCTTGCTTTGCAAAAATATACGCCATGGCCATACTAGCAGCCTCTGTAAAAATGGACAGCCGCATGGACCAGCGCCAAACTCGACTCGCGCGCGATCCGTCAATGCGCCACGTCTCGATCGCTCGCCCTGTCTTGCTTATGGTAGCGCGCGTGGTTTCATCGTCGACGATATATTACTCGGACGTTTTCTTATTTTGCCAGAAAGATCTTGTTAGAATTGGTACGGATACGGGCGTTTCGAGGCGAGCCGCACGCCAAACGAAAGAAAAACATATTTACGCCGGCAATTATTGGGGAAAGAAAAGACACGATTGATACATACGCGAAGAGCATTCTCAACAAAGAGGCACATGAAAAACAACGAAAGCAGCAAGAGGCTCGCTGGCGTCAAAGGTGCCGCCGAAGAAGCCAATCGAGTCGATACCGATCGACGCGCTCGAGCGTTGGAGGTCCACGCTCGCACGTACGCTCGCGCGCACGCACGCGCGCACGCACGCGCGCACGCACGCACGCACGCATCACGGACGGCGCTCGTCGAAAGTGCGTGCCGCGTTGATTACCTTTGCAGTATGCAAATCAGCCGGATTTAAAGTGCGCGGCTCTCAGAACCGATCGTTATTATTCGCATGGTGTTAACGACTTTTCTTTTTTCCTCCTTCCGCAACCGATCGCTCGCCGCGATAGCGCCTCTAGTTCTTGGCCGCCGCCGAGCTCGCGGCTCGGAGCACCGCTGTTTAGTCGCACACACGCTCTGCGAATAATCATTCTCGAGGTCTATCATTGAATCTAACTCCAGGTTAAAAAGTCCAGCGACAAGTAAGCAGGGCGTACGGATACGGAATGCCGCAGGGAGCGCGCAAGTGGGAGGTAGCCAGGCGGTACAGGGGACCGGCCGAGAGATAAGCAATAAGGCTGCAGAGACTGTCAAGCGAATTCCGGAACGCGCGCGGCGTGACTGCCGAACAATGCGACGCTGGGGCGCTGGCAGCGGCTCTGTATATCGGGCGCTGCATTGTTGCAGCAGCCAGGCGGAATATCGGCTGCCGCTGTAGCGGCCAAAAGCCTCGGGGCCTCCAGCTCGCTCTGATCCGCGGACATTCCTCGGCGGACGGCAACAGGCGGCTATGAATTTGCTGCGGATCGGCCCGACAAGCTGTCGATTTCAGCCTGCCCTTCTCGCTGCCTCTTCTTCGCGGCTTTCCCGCTGCAAAGTCGGTCCGACGATCGCACAATTGCCACGAGCATCTCTCCGCCGAAGTGGCCACGCTCGCGACGCACGAACCGAAGGCGTAGGGAGTTGCCGGCGAATCAGTAGCAGTGTTCGCGGAGCGAAACCCCCCGCTGCTGGCGGAGAATTATGGTGCCGGAAACAAAACTCATCGCTCTCGCTGGGGGTTTCGCCACCCACTGCGGAGTCAGCCGCCACGCCGCCGCAATATCTGACCGCGAGCGCGCACGCAGGTGTCAAAGCTCCCTTCGACTGTACGCTGCGCCTGATGGAAATATCAAAGGAGCGTGGGCACTTGGCCAGTGTCGACTTCCATTAGCTCGATTCATCGATCCATTCCCGAGTGGCGCCTCGTTTATTGTCATGTCATATTTTGACGATTGCATTTTCGCACAGGCACGATCCGACGTCGGTGATTAATTTGCGATTTGATTTTGTGTTTGCAGTTGTCTATCAGAAGCGCTTGAAGAAGGAGCGGCGAGTCAGGAAGCAGATACAGGACCAGCTGGATTTGGAGATGAAGCGACGCACGCAGTTGGAGGAGGCGCTGAAAGCTACGGGAGCTACGCCCGAACAAATCAGAGCGATCACAGGTGAGCGCGATGTTTCGAGCTGGCAATGATACATCGACGGCGTGCGCGGCGATACCGCCCATAGCAAGAAACTCGGCGCAGTCGAAAGATTCTTAGGTACTCCTTCCTCATTCCTCATTACTGACTTTCCCTTTGGAGGGCGAGCGCGAGCGTTACGAGAGGTAATATTTTGGAGCCGAGAGCGCGTAAGGTATATATGTACCTTCTTGACTCACTCCATGGCGCTGTCACAAGCAAAACTCAAACACGAAACCCTTTAAGTGAAATCTCTTATTCTGATATAACATTTCGCTTGGCGTTTTCGCTGCCGTTGCTGATTAACCCTGTCAGCCCCAGAGAGAGAGAGAGAGAGAGAGAGAGAGAGAGAGAGAGAGAGAGAGAGAGAGAGAGAGACTCGCAATATTAATTTTAAATCAAACGGCTGCAAGGAGGGAGTGAGCTGCCGTTGCCGCTGCGAGAATGAGCGGCAAGGGCGGCGAGAGTGTTGCCAAATGTACACTGCGGGATCCGAAAACGCCTCAAACTTATCTGCTTATTAACTCTCTTCTTCTCTCGCTCTCCTTTTTGGGTCATTTTTTGCAAAGGAGAAGCAGACAACGCACTTTGTCTGTAAGGATTTCAACTCTGTTGATTAGCTTCCCTTGATTATCCTCAGTGGATTGCCGTTGGGAATGGAAAAATGTAAAATAAACTTTGCTGAAAAAGAACAGCTGCAAGAACGGTGTACTTTGTTTTTGCAGAAAGTATAACAGTAGAAGCGTCACGAACGAATGCCGATCCAGTAGAAGACTCGCCGCCGCACCCATCGCAACAATCAGGCTCGCAGTCATCGAACTCGACTCCCTCGGCCCATCAGCAGCAACAACAGCAACAGCAGCAAAAACCACAACAGCAGCGGCAATCGCAAGAACCAACGAGCGGACAATACAGAGAAGCGTCGCAATCCGCTGGTGGTCGTTCGTCGTCATCTTCATCGTCGCAGCAGCAGCAGCAGCAGCAGCAACAGCAGCAGCATCAGCAGCAGCAGCATTCGCAACAGGCAACGCCGCAGCAGCAGCAGCAGCAGCAGCAACCACAGACGCCTGAAAAACCTGGCTGGGGATACAGCGGACTCGACCTCATCGGTAGCCAGGCTTCAGCTTTCTGGCAGAACTATCAAGGTCGGTATGTCGCGTGTGAAGACTGTCGATTCACTGCCGGAGCTTGTCTTTTCATTTCGGTTATTCCGATGCTTTGTTTCTTTCGCCATCGGCGACCTGCCTTTTCGAGGGATTTCATATGGTCATGCCGGAAATGGAGCTTCATCATTTTTATCCAATAATATCCGGCATTTCTCTTTATTTTTTGTAGGAACGCGTTAATCGATAGGTTTCGTTGGCTTTCTCTTCATTGTCCCGAGCCAATCCTACCGCTGTCCTGCAGCCACGTCGATGACGAAATATATAAATCGCTACACGAATTGGCAGTGGCGCTGTCGCCAATCTCATTATTGCACATTGGAGTCTCGATCGCGCTGCAATTATTCGTGCTATTGCACGCGCTAAAGTGTTACCTATAGCGCTCGAAGTGCTCGAAGCGCTCGAATAGGTTATTTACACAATGGTCTCAAAGAAAAAATGGAATAACCCTGACTCGGCCGCGCGGCCGCGTAACTCGAAAGTGCTTCGCAAAAAAGCTCGACAATTTATTGGACGCGTAGCCGGCTACCGTCCGCCAAGAATACGCGCGGCTCTTAAAACATCAACCTGTCAAATGTGACTTATTGACATAGCGCCCGAAGAAGAGAGGAAAAAACCAAGTCAAAACTATATCCAGCGCGATAACTCGGTGTCAGCTATACGTGCATATATAGGAGGCGTTGGGTATATAAAAGAGGAGCGCGGTACACTCGAGAGGCAGGCAGCTCGCAATGCGGAATCCATTTGCAATAAACAACGGAGATTTAAAGGGGAGAAGAGAGGAAAGGGAAAGATCATCGCCGTCCAAGGTGGGCACTTACGAGCCGAGGGGACCGTCTTCCAGTCATGCATTCTATAGCGCGCGCGAGCAACAGTGCTTCTTGTCCTCCCCCCGTCTAGTCTCTTTATTACTCTAGCGCGCTCTTGCCGCCATCCTCCTTGCAATCGCGGAGCAACGACAAGCTAAGCGTTCCGAGAATTAGTGCAACATTGGAATCCAGTGCAACTCGCTCCTACGTACGGGGTTCCGATTTGAAGCAGCGTTGCCAAAGAATTATCCGCGGTGAAAAATTCCATTTAGCTGATGGAAAAAGGTCAAATGTTACGAGCGAGAAATGAGAACCACTGGCGATAATGCGGACTTTATGCATATAACTCGGCGTCGTAGTAAAGAAAGAGCGAGTCAGAGAGCCGCCAAAGTAATTTCCCCGGCGACCGCCACGGCTTTCGGTGGCGTTACCTGTCGACGCGGCAGCGGCGACGGCGGCGGCCTCCTTCTCCCACCTCCTACCTCCTCCTTCCATACTCGCAACTTCTTTTACTTCCACCTTCCCTTTCCTTATACTCTTTTATGCGCCTCTTCATTTTTTCCACTCGAACATTTCCACTTGGCATTTTCCGCTATCCAGTTTTTAATCTGCAGCAGTATCCATCGCACTTCTTCGGATGGAATTGCCTTGAGCATTGCAATGTCGTTGTCCTCGGAATTGTTGGGATTGTAGGCGTGGAAAAGCTCGATCAGAGAAATCGTCGCGCAAAGAAACGCGTCAGCGAGAGCGCCAGTGGTTGAAAGTGCTCGTGAAATGAGCACTCGCGGACGACGTAGCGATGAATAATCTGCGCGCCGCGAAAGCTCCATTTTAACTTTTCACAATTCGCTTCGCGTCCTATGCGTTCCTTTGACTGCCATATGCGCTCGCTCTCAATATTACATTTAGCCTTCCTTTTTGCCACGGCACTTATACTCTGTTTTACTTGGCATCGCGAGCGCGTCATTTTCGTTGATGGCTCTTTCACTCCCTCGCATGATACTTCGACACGAGCCTCTCTCCGAGCGCCCTCGTTGTGCTTTAATATTCAGACTTATATGCAATAATTTGGCAGGCAGCCGTAACCTCTTCCTTCGCGTAAGAGAACGACTCGGCGTACCTCTACACGCTTACACGGCCATTTGCCCTCGGTCGAATCTATCCTATCTGTCGCTTCACCATCTTGTTCTTATATGTAACGCCCCTCTCGCAAAGCCACGTGAAATTCTCTCCAGTTAGTGTCTTTTCAAAAAGTGCTCTATGCTCATTTCGAATGCTCGCGCATCAATGGAAACGGAAAGAAACGAACGAACCTCTTCGTCTCGCAGTGATGCACGAGAAGAAACTTTGAAAGACCGAAAAAGGAACACAGGTATAAAATGAAAAGGCGAGAAGAAAGTTTTTCCAAGCGAGGGAGTGAGAGCTGTTTTGCAAGCCTAAAAAGACCGAAAGAATGAAATCGCGCGAGTAACAGAAAGAAGGATGAGGGTGCGCACAGCAGCGAAATAAAGAAAGTTGAGCGTAGAAGGAGAGGGAGAGAGAGAGAGAGAGAGAGAGACAAACATGCGGAGGGTCGCGCGCGGAAAACAAAACGCGAGAGCATCGCCTCGTACGCGCCCGCGGAAATTTGAAATTATAAGAGCGGCTGATTTGATGCCGAGCGCCGTCGCTCGGCTACATCCGTCCCCACCTTCCCTCGCGTTTTCTTCGTCGACGCAGCATTTCAGTTTGTTATTGACGCATACTTCTTGTATAACTTGACCGAGAAAATTAATTAGTCGCAAAGCGATCCAAGTCAAATGACGATTGCTTTCTTCGCTTTCAACGTCATATCGAGAGGACGCGTTATCGCGATAAAATGATGCACAGAAAAGATTCCGAAGAAAATACAATCGCTTTATCCTACATTTTCCAGTCTACCCTCAACGGAGTCTATCTCATTCTCCTCCACCTCCGATTCATACAATTTCACGGTTGGCTTGTCGCTCTCTGGTGGCCTCGTCGCCGTCGTCGTCGTCCGCTTTACATAAAGATCAGAGGCATTAAAAACGCGCGTGAGCCCGTCTTCTTCTTATTTTCCTCGAGCATTTTTTGACCAATTACTGCCGCGCGATGTCGTTCTCGAATTGCTTCTTTGGTCTTGCCGAGCAGCGCCGAGCAGCGCCGAGCAGCGCCGAGCAGCGCCGAGGGCCTCGGAGAACGATTCGCCACGTCTTATTCCATTTTCGTCTCGTCCTCGTCGCTCCAAACGCATGAATTTCACTCAAGGGTTCTTTTCCTTTTCTTTTTTTATCGCAAAATGACGCGCACTTACACGCGCGCTCGCGCCTTTTTCAGCTGTTTTTACTGCCGCAGAGCGCTCAGATGTTGGCCGCTTTTATTTTAAACGGCAGAAAATCGTTGAAAAGTATACGCTTCGTATTGTCAGAAACTTAATGACTATTTCACATGAATTCCGTAAAAAGGAAATGCGCTCCAGCTGTTCAGAACATGTCATTAGTATATCTTGTTATTGAAAAAAGTGGGGCGCATAATGCATGATCTGCTTGCACGCGGATAACTAGCAGGACCTTGTTATTGTCACGTTGAAGGAGCAATGTGTTCATCCGCAATGAGCGATCAATAGCCCGTGTCCAATTGACAAAGGTCTAATTAATGAAAGCAGTGTAGAGCGAGAAACAATCAAGCGAATGAAATGAGAAACGAAAAATTGCAAAAATCATTGGGCGAAGCTTAAGAAACGGAAATGAATTGGCGCAATACGCAGGCAGGAAAGAAGAAGGGCCGGGGCCGAGAGAAATAATAAAAAGAAAGAGTTGAAATGCCAGATGAGGGACTCTTGACTCTTTATTTTCTTGAATTTTTAATCCGAAGCAATTTAAATCGCCGACGAATCAGCTATCTCGCGTGGATGGCAGCCGTGTAAAAGCGGCGGCCTCCGCATTGTGTCGGAGTTAATTACGGGCCTACGTAAACGCCGAGTCACAGGGCTAAGGCGCTACCGCGCGCGATCCTGTATAGTCCGCCGGAGAAAAGGGATTGACGAGTTGCCGCTGCTACCTCTTACTTCTTTCGTTCTTTCGCTCTTTCGCTCTTCTTTTTTTATCGCTTCTTTGCGCGGCGAGCTTGTTGTATTATCTCTCTTGGCTGCTCTGTACAATGGCGCAAAGTCGCGCGAGCTCCCGAAATTGTTTCCATTGTCCAGCCGATTTGTCAGGCCTGTGTAAGACGAGTAGCGAAACTATTAGTCGCCTGGCTTTTTCTGCGAGCCCGTGACGGGCCTGCACTCGCTATAGCGACCACGTTTTGCGCCAGTGTTCGCTTTCCTGTAGCTTTGTCGAAAATGCATATTCACTCACCTATACGCTGTGCTCGGCTTTCTCATTCTTTGTCCGACTGGCCACTGTTGAAACAGCTTATAGATAAATACAAAACACCATTCATTGTTCGAACCGCCCAGCAAACGTCTTTATAGAAAACTTTCCACGAGTATTTCCTGCTTTTCCGGTACACCTTTACCTCATCAACGATAAGCAGTTATCGATCGAATGACGAATCAATAAGAAATTCGAGATTTACAAGTCGATCGACCAAAGCGTCACTCGCGCAACCAACAAAGCTCAGCTAGATTCATAAACCAAAACTACAATAATAATCGTTTCAATTTGATCGAACACCTAAGCAATCACTGCGAAATGACGAGCTATAAACGATACAGCAAGTGTACGCAAGAGCCTGAAGCGTGGTTGTATCCTCGGCAAAAGGCTGACTCTGCAAGAGAGTGAGAAAAGGCCGGCGGCGTATACATTTCCAAGCAGTTAAATTGTCATTTGGATATCAAAGGGACGGGCAACAGCCGGCGCTATATAGCGCGAGAGGTAATTTGGGCAAGGGCGAAACGCAAACATCGTAAATGCGATTCACACCCAGAACAGCAAAAGCCCTTTTGGCTATTGTTGCTCACGAGCACCATGGAATCCTTCTCGCTGCGACGTCCTATACATAATTCCTCTCGCTTTTGTCCTCGCAGCTTCTAAATTCAAATTGACGGCCCTGCAATTACTTTAAATCATTCATATACATTATTTGTTGAGCAATCGATTCTCAAATATATTCGTAAGCGTTTGACGAGCGAAAGAAATTTTTATCATCGTGCCATTCGCGGATAGTTAACAAACCAATACTTTTGATCCTCGATCTCTCTGTAACATTCTTCTACGTGATTGCGATTAAAGCTCACTTCTCGTTATCGCTGATAACTCTCTGACGCAGTTAGAGAGTCGTAATTTGAAGCAAGCTTTGCTATTCGAATTCGCGACAGTTTCTTTCGACCTGACCAAACCACTGGCTACTGCTTCATTCCAAGTGAAATAAGTGTTGCTCGTGAGAAAAATTGAAATGGGTTATTGGGTTAGAAAGCGCTACAAGGCGACAACTCCATTTAACAACGAAATGAAAGCGAGCGGCAAGGAGAGGGTGGGCGAAAAAAAAATATGAAAACGAAGCGCGGGGGCAGCGTAGTCGAGCCGCAAAATCGGATCTGGGCGAGGTGTTGCGATTAGCTCGGACGGGTTATATAACTGGTCGCTTGATTATAATGGCATTAAAGCGACATTTTCCCGTTTTCGGGCGAGCTCGCGCTCGTATTAGCAGAGAGAATCCCTAATCCCGCGTGGAATTCAATGAGCAAACCGCTTTTCTCCATCTCCGCTGCGGCGCGCGTGAAAGCGCGGCCCTCTCTCTTTCTCTTTGGCTGGTGTTATATCCCTCCGCTAATTACCATCGTCCTCGCTGCTCCCACCCTTTTTCTCGCTTGCTCGCGCTGATTGAGCCAAGCCTTGCCGAGGAGATTATCATTATATGCGTCTTTCTAAATACTCGGCTTAGCCGACGAAAGGCTTTTGCTTATGAAAATGCTGATAAATGCTTCATGAAATCCCTAATAGTTTTTAATACGCATAATATCATGTTCACGTACTTGTTTATCAATGCTGCGTTTCATTTGTTTCTGTTGCAGAATCCTTGGCGGAATTCGAAATGGAAAGAAAAACGCGTCAGCATCAAACGACTGATAGGGACCAGGTCAAGTCTCCACTCCAAGGTAATTCATTGTTTTGAGAGCGTCCGTTAATCTTGCGATTGATCTGCAAAGGAAGCTTCTCACTGTAACTGTAGCGAGCTCGATAGCAGCAGCGCCACATTAAAAACAGACGTCTTCGTACATCGTTCGCGGCTAAATGACAAAAGTTTCCGAAGCTTCGAGCTGTATGTATAAAACGCGTGGCACTTTGTACACATTTGCTCGAGCGCGGTTCGTTGCAACTTAAAAAAGAAAAGCGATCACGTCGCAAAAATTAGATCTGCCCTGGAGTTTTCCCCTATAGGGTAGGGCCTGAAAAACGGGACGCTGCACCGAGCCGAGCGCAGTTTCTTCAAGGCGAAATCCCAAGTTCGATCTTTAATTAGAAACTCTAGAGCAAGTTGCCGGCTCAGCTGAGCGTCGTCGTTTCTTGCGTCTGATACCGCTCGGCCGACGTATTGTCAGCTCTCTCGTTCTTCTTCGTTCAAGTTCCTTCGCGCAGCTTTCGCCCGCGCAAGTTACAGCTGCCGCAAAAACCGAACCCGCGCACGGCAGTCAGGCGCCCTTACTGTGCCGCGATCATTTTCGTCGAGTGGTCCCTCTCCTCTCCGAAGAAACTTTGGCTGCGAAGCGACTTCTCTCTCTGTCTTTTCTCCCAATTTTTTCCAGTCCCAACTTGGCTCTCTCTCTCTTCTTTTTCCCTTCCTCGCTTAAGATCCTTGCCGAAATTTCAATTGAACTCGGCCTGCTTACAGCTCCAATTGCGAGAAATTCTCTGCGCATCGCCTAAGGAGATCGCATCCTCTGAGAACCGTTCATATTTTTGCATTAGCCTAATTGCGAGTAAAGTATTTTTTAATACGCGAACGCTACGCACAACCGCGTTCGTGTAACGGAAATAAAATAAATTAAATGATCATTCGTTAAACGTCGAACCACAACATCTTATTCGGGAAGACAGCATAAAAACTTAAAAGCTCAATTAAATCTTCACGTAAAGTGGGCCTTAACAGTATTCTTATATACGCGTGTACGAAGTCATCATCACAAACGCCATAGCCGTTTAGATACAGAAAAAAAACGAAGCCAAACGGTACACGGAAAGGCACACATGACGAAAAGTGCTGGGCCATCTTCGTTAATTAACCGGAATTTTCAAGTCACGAAACGATTTATATAGAAGCGCGTGGGTTTTCCCAATCACAAGCGAGCAATGGCTCGACATAAAAAAAAGCAGTCGGTCGATCTCAAAGACTCTAGGAATGACCTCGATACCCGTCCTCGCTTCTTTTTTTAAAATTCTATATTCGCGCAATTTTTTGCAACTTTATTATTTATCATTTCCGTGAAAGCACTGTTTAGATAGGCGGCCATCTTTGAACGATCGGTCAGCTTTTCAGACAAATTATTGCATAAGCAGAAGAAATTAACTGAATTATCGATGCAAACTACCGAAATATAAGCGAAGATTTCGACAACGAGCAAACATCTGTTTTGTATGTTACAGAATCGCGAGCAGGCTACTACAAGAATTCAGTCCTCTTTACCAGTGCAACCTAGAAAAGATCGCGATCACCCGAGGCGCGATAAACGCCGCATCGTTTTTCATTCAGCTGCCAGCGAGTTGTGCGCAAAAAATTTATTGCGTGATCAAGAAAGAAACGGTTCTCGACGTAAAGGGTGACTAGTGGAGATTCTGTGTATAGGATGACATATCATCGACGTATGTCTTTGGTCTTACTAAATTAGAAACAATGATGTAATAAAAGAGAGGGAGAGAGAGAGAGAGAGAGAGAGAGAGAGAGAGAGAGAGAGAGAAACGGCATTTATTAGACTGCATCTTCTTACGTATACATATATCGCAAGAATACAAGTGAGAATCCACGATACTACGACAAATTCATGAGTGTAAGTGGAGATATTATAAATACGTATATAAATAAAGAAATCTAGAGGAGTGTGCGAGAGAAGGATAGACACCGCGAAGGTATGTAAGGTGTAGAACGTGAGAAATGTGAGCGTCGATTGTGCGTGCGCGAGAGCAAAAGCGCGATATGAAACAATACATTAAACGTGAGAAACCGAATGAGAGAGCAAGAGAGAGGAAGAGAGAGGGGGCATCAGAGAGATATTTATAAAGACTGCTGCATCGAGAGTGTGCGTGTAGGATAGACGCTGTGTATTAATTCACAAAAAATGTGCAAGGAGCAACAGCAAAAAACACATTATTATCGATTCAAATCGACCATATCGTCTATAAAACGGTCGAGGCAAGAATAGTTAGTCCATTATAGCTCGTAAGGCATATAAATAAATCTACAAGACTCGGCTCGTTCGCTCTTTTCAATTTCTTCGTTTCGTCTCTATCTTCTTCATTGTCATCTTTCATATTAATATTATTATCGTCTTCATCGTTATCATCATCATCATTATGTATTTTTTTGCGAAAAAAAAACAAAAACAAAAACGAGCGAATAACGAGCGAACGAGACGCGTGATCGAGAAATATATAAAATATGAAAAAAAAAATGAAGTATGAAGTAAATGCGTCCTTGACTCGAGTCAATGAGCGTCGGAAAATCATCTATCTTCCCGCGAGTCTTAATGAAGGACGACCGCTACACAAACTTTTATATAGATTAGCGTGTGATTTTTTAAAGGAAACCGCGATGGCCGAACTATATAAATTATATATTATACATAAACGTAGCGAGAGACAGGAGAATATGAGAGAGAAGTCGCGAGCGAAACAAATGAGTCTTTCCGATATAGAGAATTGAATTTGCTCGCTCGGGAAAAAAAATTTTTTTCGCGAAGAAAATTGTGTATTATATAAGTAAGCTGGGGTAGATAACGACGGTCACAGGCGAGGAATGCTGACGAACGGGAGGACGGTCACGATTTGGAATTTTCCTAGTGCGTTTTTAAGCTAACGATCTATTTATAAATAAATAAAAACAAACAAAAAATGACAAAATAATCGAGTTATTCACGAAGAGTAAGTTTAATCTATTTACGTGTGACACCTAATGCGCCTGTCATTCGCCTCGATCGGCGGCAACTTTTTCCTCAACCGATTCAAAGTGTGTATCATAATATAGATTGAAACATCCGATGACTTTTCAATTCCAAGTTTTATTTGCGGGTTTCGATGATTGTAATGCACAGAGTTGAGGCGCGGCAGATTCGCTAACACTTTGACCAAGGATAAAGCATCAGGTCGATCGACGCGAGGCGTCGAAGCTTAATCTCTAAGATCCGTGTACAAAGTCTTTTTAGTCGTAAGGAGATAAGGCATACTTGTGTTGTAAAGTTCACATAATCATAGCGTATGTCTACGTATCGGCTAAGCCCGGCTAGAGCAACAAAAAAAGGTTATTCAGTAGAAAAACGAAAATTTAATCACCGATAGCTCATCCGTATTTGCCATCGCCATTTCTCACTCACACATTCACCACGTACGCGCATAGACACACCTAATCTTGTATTCGCATAAGCTGAGAAAACGAAACGGTCGAGAACAATTATCCAATCGCATAACTCCTTTTTTTCTCCACTTTGCAGACACACCGACAGTACATAATGCAACTGATTGTGAGTAAGAACCAGCAAATCGAGTTCGTCAAAGGCGCGACGCTCGTCCGAGTATTATTAAGTCGTCGGTCGCCGGCAATCGGCAGTCTTCTTTTGCACGATACATCATTCGAGGGCGAGGGCAATTCGAATAGATACGCGTGCCTGCGTGTGTGTGTGCGATTGAGAATTTATATAGCGAAAAGTCGACGCGAGCTCGTTTTGCTCAATGTGTAATTAGTGTGATGCGAGTGCAATTTTTTCAATATGTATTATAAACATGAGCGTCGAAGACCACGGCGATTGTCGGCGAGCAATAAAAACAAATAAAGATTTCCTTCTTTCACCATTTCAACGCCATCTAGCGTCAAAACGATCATCAAATCTACTCATGTAATTCAGCATATTACTATCTATGAATAAATAATAGTTGTTATTGTAAACGATTACCGAATATGAATTATTTTCCTCCTGCTCTTGTCTTCCTATTCCCTTTCTCTTCTCTAATAACATTTCAGCTTATACATGACTACAAACTTTTTTCAATTATGAATCAACTAAAGAAGCTGTTTTATGATGTTATTTTCTCAGGTTGTACGTTGTTGTACGTGTGAAACTCACGCATTGACGGACAACATTTTTTCAATGTTATATTTACTATCTAAAGTGAAAGAACAGTAGACATATTAATGAAAAAAAAGAGAAATAAGGACTGGATGAGAAATAGCGTAGTGCAGCCATGCTGCGAAAGATGCATTTAGAAATTCTTATCAATTTGCAATAGCGTAACGACATGCAGCACGCGACGTTATGCGACGCGATTGGCCTGAAAAATGGCTCCGCCCACTTCTAGTCGCAGTATTTTCATAAACAAAGATTGAGCGCGATAGAGGGCTCGACAAACAGAAATAAAGCGAGTAGTTGCAAACTTCAAAGAACATCTTCGTTCTATGACGTTGGCAAAATAAATAAATAAATTGCTCGTGAGAACATTCCTCTTTTATTATATGCAACGTTACTTCCCGCATAAACGTTATTGTTATTAGAGGAGTAAGGCTGTCATAAGCGTAAAATTTAAATGAGTTGATAATTACGAGAGGTCGTGTGATAATAAGCATATGCTCTTTACTATGTACGTTATGGAATAAGCCAAAGTTGAAGAGAGCGAAAAATCGGCTAATCTATCGGTAAAGGTCTTGACAAGCTAATTTTGAGCACTCGACGTTTCCTTTCTGGTGAAGACTTACGAATTCGGTTTTTCTCCGGCACGCGGCGGCGCAAAAGAGCCATTCGTCGCAGCCCCTCTCTCCTCGGCCCTGCAAAAATGTAAAACGCGATTGAACGCGCGCTGTCAGCATATTTGTAGCTCGGGAAAAAATGAACGTTTCTATGCAAATGAGGGGCTTGACTCCCTTGGCTTGGTCTCTGACTCCCTCTCCTTTACAGCTTGCGTCGATGCGATTTCCCCCACTCGACAACGCCGCCGACGGCTTCCGTCGCCTCGACATTGCCGATGCAGAATTGCCTCTCTGCGTGCTGACTTCGTGTGTGTATGTGTGTGTGTCAACACCGATGTGAAAACACGATAACACCGCTGCATTCTGCATTTTTGGACTCTTCAATGAACGAACCACGCAAATGGCTTAAACCTGACTAATCATTTATTTTTTCGTACATTTGATTCATGATTTTCAATTTCAACTAGTCATTACTGTCTATTGTAGTATCAGACAAATTTTACCGCTATTCCTAAAAAGAGACTTCACTCAAATAAAATCCTGCCTTGTTTTAAAATCGAAATGATAATAAAACGAGCATTAAAATGGTAAAAAATCGATTATCTTTCGCTTTAAAAGGGTCCCAAGGGTACTTGTAAACGTTTCTTTTTCTTGTCGAGTATGCACGTCCCGGCGGCGTGGGGGGTTTTATTCGATAATTATGCAAATGCGGAAATGATGATTGTCGGGCATGTGTCCTTCGAATATAAAAGGGAAGGTAGGAGTATTTCAGTTATCTTTATGATTTAGGGAGAAACAAAATTTAACCTTTATCTTTTTTTATCAATTGTAAAATGTCATTTTTTTATATCATATGCGTACGAATTATCAATTCAGATTTACAAATCATTAATAATGTTAAATACTTTTATCTTAAGGAAATATTTCATTCAAAAACATTTTAATATAAATTAACAATTAAACATTGTTGTTAAAAAATTATAATTTAGTGGTTTCCATTTCACAAATATTTTCTGTATGAATTTATCTGCATTAAATTATGTTAGGTACACAGTTGGATAAATAAACAAAACAGATTCCCTTGTTACAAATCTATGTGTATAACTGGAGACTCCAACCATCGAGAGTAGTAAGAGTAGCATAGCCCGTTGGATTTGCGATGACTTGACACCAGTCGTGGTGGCAAGGACAGCAGAGCTAGTCCAGATAATTGCTAATAAAGCCCTGCGCACATTATCACCGAATAGCTTAGCGCAGCGGGACTTTGCAACTAACAGTGAGTCAATGTGAGGCGATTTTGGTATCACGGTGTAGAAAGTACAGGCTCGCCGACTTTTTATTATTGACGAAGTAAAAAGTCCATAATAAGCAGCTTCTAGTCTTTTTTACATTTAACATTTCTTATTAGATTTTTCTCTTATGTATAATAATTCTTTCGGTGTAAACTGTAGGAAATTTTTCGACTGCTTCACCTCTAAGAGTAAAAAGAAGTACTCATATTGTCCATTTTTTTCACTTTACCGAGGAGCTTTATTTTTTATTTTTACAAATTTAGTAATGTATAATAATGAAATTAAAACTAAATTTACAATTAACTCTACTGAGATGTTTTTAAAAATCTCATCTTTCATGAATTCATTTATTTTCATGAAAATTAAGAAAATAATTTGTTAATTCGACAATTATTTGTAGCCATATTTCTAGAACATAGCAGATTAGAAGTAGTAAGTGTGTAGATACTAAAGCTATGTATAGTTAAATTCAAATTTCATATCTCTAGTCTCATATACGTCTACCACTTTTTAAAATAAGTTGATAACGAATCCACGACTGACGAACAGTCTTATAAATAAGCTGTGCCAAATCACATTGCAAAGAATGGCAAATAAATTATAAATTTATAATTGATCTTGTCACATTAATAAAACTGTAAATTTTAATCATTTACCAAATATTATGTAATGAAAGCTCTATTAAAAATTCAGTCATTGAATATCTATTTTATTGAATTTTTAAAATTAGATAAATAACAATTTTTAATAAATTGAAATGAAATTGATATTTAAAAAAATTATGATGGATACAATGCAAAGATGCTATTGAATCTAATATATTTGATATTGTTTCTAAATTAAGTATCGGCGTATTTTATTTCAAGTTATAATAAAATAACGGATAGCAAATAAATAATTTACACCTAATACTTCCTCTGTTTACAGTAAAAATGGGGTTGTTGCTAACATTGATAAAAGTATTGATAATATTGTATACGTAACGTGCACCACTTGCTACATATGAGAAAGTGTATTAAACTTTATTAGACGTTCTAATTATTAGTAGTTTTTCGATTGTAATATTTATTTGCATCGCTCCTTACTTTCCTTTTAATCACGCAAGCTCAAGAGTCTTTACGGATCCATTTGCCGTAGCGACATGAAAATAAAAAAAAATACGAATTTGTTTGTTAAGCTGATTCTCTTGATTGTTTAAGAATAAAACGTTATTTTCACGATTCTCTAAAAATGTCTCTCTTTTGCTCTAATTTTGCCGTCTTTACGAATACTCGTTTATGTTTATTCTGCCATTATGTCATTATTGATGTAGTGCATCTAATTTTAATAACTATTATGATATACTATTTTGCTTGAATTAACGAGAAGCTAATAGTCATTTGTGCTTAAGGACGCTTTTTTTTCTTTTACGAATTTCTCGTTTTTATTCAACCAAAGTGATGTACATTAATCATGTATACATTGGAAACGCAATGTAATCCAGCAGAGGAAATAAATTCCCGTCGGCTAGTCTGGCAATTCACTTAATAAAAAAAATAATACTCTTATATTAAATAGAGAAGAGTTCTGAAGATAGGACAACTAGGCAAAAATCATCGCATTAATTGCACTTTTGCCTGTCTTTTTTATTCAGAAGTGTCTGACGATCATCGATCTTGCGCGATAAAACCAAAAAATTGATAATTCTTTTCGGTCTTGTAGGAAGCACTCCGTCAATGCAGTTGGCGGCATGTTTCATTCTTTCTTATCTTCTTTCACGTCTGTCAAGATGCGCTCCCTTGAGAGTACGTAAGACTCGCGTCGTCAATGTATTTTTCCGAGGCGCCTTCAAGATGTCACCGTGGCTAATGAGGGGAGTTAAGCGAGTCAACGAAGACGGCGGCGATGAGGAGACGAAGGAAAAAGTCTCTCGTCGCTCGCTCGCTCGCTCGCTCGCTTGCGCGTCTATTTCAGTAATTGCGTTAAGCATTCGCGGGAGCGACGTTTATTAAGTAATAAAAATTTGTTTTAGAGTGATGAACGAATTTATCGGCGAGTCTTCCAACTTTTACAGGCTTCCATTAAATGTAGCTATAATAATGCGCGAATTCGGTTGAATAAATAAATTAATGCAACTGCAAGCTCGAAATTGGTGGGATTCGTAGATTTTCGATTGAAAGCTATATCCGACAGAAATTGTTATCGCGAGTTTAAAGCGCGTTGTCCGCTTTGGTGCAAACGAATGGAGGAAGAGAGAAAAAAGGAAAGAAATAATTTCGGTAGAGACACATAGGCACGGACAGGCGTCCGAGAAAATTGGCTGCTTGGAATTATCGAGGAACGAAGTGATCTTTTTAAAAATGCATTAAAAAAAATTACGACTGGTCGTCCGCGTGGCGTGCTTATAAGCGAATTACTTAACGTAATAATTTCCGAAGCCCGAAGGACGCGCAGGCGTAAAAAGCGAAAGGACGCGTACGCGCGTACATGTAGGCGCACACAGGCATAAAATACGAGAAAAGTGGACGCACACGGGCGTACGTAGAGGTTGATGCGCGCAGCGTGCAAGGATAAGCGAGCACTGGACAAATTGAGGGGAGGGAGATGGAGAAAGAAGAATGGAACGTCGCGAATCCCTCATGAATGCGAAACCGGTAATCAAAGTGTCCGATCGGACGAGATGAATCGCCTTATGCACGACGCTCTTTTTCATATATCTGCCTTCCACTGTCTCTCTCCCGCGTTCTCTTTGCTCCTCTTTTTCCCTCCCATTTTCTCGCTTATAACTTTCGTTATTCACGATCCACCTATCTCTCTCTCTCTCTCTCTCTCTCTCTCTCTCTCTCTCTCTCTTCTTTCTTCTGCCCACCTCATTTTTCTCTCTTGGCCAGTCTTATATCCATGGCCAATCTG